TACTGATTTTTTTTCATTTATTTTTATTAGCTGCAGGCTAATTACTTTACAATATTGTAGTGGTTTTTGTCATACATTGACATGAATCAGCCATGGATTTACATGTATTCCCCATCCCGATCCCCCCTCCCACCTCCCTCTCCACCCGATCCCTCTGGGTCTTCCCAGTGCACCAGGCCCGAGCACTTGTCTCATACATCCAACCTGGGCTGGTGATCTGTTTCACCCTAGATAATATACATGTTTCGATGCTGTTCTCTTGAAACATCCCACCCTCGCCTTCTCCCACAGAGTCCAAAAGTCTGTTCTGTACATCTGTGTCTCTTTTTCTGTTTTGCATATAGGGTTATCGTTACCAGCTTTCTAAATTCCATATATATGAGTTAGTATACTGTAATGGTCTTTGTCTTTCTGGCTTACTTCACTCTGTATAATGGGCTCCAGTTTCATCCATCTCATTAGAACTGATTCAAATGAATTCTTTTTAATGGCTGAGTAATATTCCATGGTGTATATGTACCACAGCTTCCTCATCAATTCGTCTGCTGATGGGGATCTAGGTTGCTTCCATGTCCTGGCTATTATAAACAGTGCTGTGATGAACACTGGGGTGCACGTGTCTCTTTCAGATCTGGTTTCCTCAGTGTGTATGCCCAGAAGTGGGATTGCTGGGTCATATGGCAGTTCTATTTCCAGCTTTTTAAGAAATCTCCACACTGTTCTCCATAGCGGCTGTACTAGTTTGCATTCCCACCAACAGTGTGAGAGGGTTCCCTTTTCTCCACACCCTCTCCAGCATTTATTGCTTGTAGACTTTTGGATAGCAGCCATCCTGACTGGCGTGTAATGGTACCTCATTGTGGTTTTGATTTGCATTTCTCTGATAATGAGTGATGTTGAGCATCTTTTCATGTGTTTTTTAGCCATCTGTAGAAGACATCCATCTTCAAAAGCCATCTAAAACGATGCAGACAAGCAAATACTGACATCATGATGTTAGGGAAATGTCCAGGCTTCAGATGCGGAACAGCAAGCCTCTGACCTGCTTCTGACCTGCTTGGTCACTGCCTGGATGACGTGCCTACTCCCCAGCACATCGGTTGTTACCAGTAAATCAAGTGGGACTTCGGATACAACAGAGAGAGGGTCTTGGAATCTCTTGAGACCCTGCAGGTCTGGCTAGCCTCCAGGGTCCAAGAAGTCTCATGATTCACAAAGTGAAACCAAGAGCCTGTCTGAAGCAACTGAGCGTGCATTGTCTGTGTAACGATTTGTTTCTTTTGTTAAGGAATCCTGAAAACCCTAAACAAAAGTAAAACTTTCAGCAAACCACACGATATTAAGTAAAACTGTAGAAGACAGCATGAATTCAACCATGCCAAATGCATACAAACCCTATAGCTAAAGGGAAACCAGGGATGAGGCATGCCAAAAGATTAGCGCTTGTTATCTCTCTGTAGTGCCATTACGGTGGCTATCTTATTCTTTACTTTTTCCTCAATTGCTCAGATATTCAAAATTACTTTTATAAAAAGAAAAAAAAAGGCACGTCTGTCTTTCACTCTTGGCTGCAGGGCCAAGCCTGGCAGTAAAAATTCTTTGAAAAAGAAAACATTCTCTTTTGCAGGCCTATATTCTTCCCTGAGAAAACCTGGATAATAGTGATGTGCCAAATGGGATAATAGATCAGAGCTCACCAAAATGTCTGTGGCACTTCCAAACAGCTGTTGTAGGAGAATACTATTACTCTTGCTCCTGATTTGGGTATTTAATGATATTTCATGCAGACAGACATAATATCAATGACAAGGATAAGAAGTGAGAAAGTAAGGATTTAAGTCTGTTTTCAGATACTGGCAGCTTCCCACTCTGCCATCACTCCCAGCAGAGCAGAGGTGTTACTACTGAAAGATACATCCACAACTGGGGCTAAAAGGACCCAGGACATTAGAGTTCACACGGCCCTGAACCTAACACAACACACAAACCAGGAGCCTAGAGTCATGTACTACACATACACCCGAGCCCCATGTTTGTGCACACAACGCAGAACTCAACATGCACACACACATACAGAGAACCTTTCATGTGCACACACACTCCAAATACAAATCACACCCACACGCATCCCTAAGACCCAACACAGGCACACACCCCTCAGAACCCAAAGGTACACACATCTTTCAGACCCAGCATGGACATACACACACCCCTGAGTGCCCACTGTGGGCGCTCACACTCTTCAAAACCCAGCACAGCAACAGACCCCTCAGAATTGATCGTGCATATGCATCCTTCAAAACCTACAATGGGCACAAACCCAAGACCCAACACAGGTAAAAACACCCCTGGGAACCAAATTCAAGTGCTCATATGCCTCATATACCACCACACAGGCACACACCCAACACAACAACCCAATACAGATACACACCCCTCAGACCCAACATGGGAGCAGACCCCTCTGAATTCGGCCGGTGCACAACAGTTAGATTCAATACTGGCACACGCACAACCCTCAAAACCATCACAGACAAGACAACCTACAGAATCTAACACACATACATACCTCTCAGAGCCCAAATGAGCACCCACACCCCTCAGAACTCAAAACACACACACAGACACACACACCACTCAGAACATATATGATTCAGAAACCAGCAGAGATGAACATACTCCTCAGGCCCATATGGGAAAACTCCGCTCAGAACCCAGCACAAGCAGACGCCCTTCAGAGCCAACACACACACACCCCTCACACCTAACACAGACAGATATACTACTGAGAATGACTCAGACACTACCCACAGACACAACACAGGCACACACATGCCTGAGAACCAAAAAGGACTCCACTCCTCAGAACCGAAACGGCACACTTTCCTCAACTGAACATGGGAGCAAAAACATGAGATCCAGTATGTGCAACACACCCTCAGACACAACACAAACACACACTCATCAACCCAAAACAGAAACACACTCCTCAGATTCAACATGGGGGCCCACATGCCTCAGAACCGACATGGACAAATACTCTCTGTACCAAAAACGGGCACACACCGCTCAGAACACAACTAGGAAACACAGCCCTCAATGCCAACACGGACACAGACTCCTCGGACCCACTGTGAACACACACCCGCCAGATCCACCATGGACACACACACACATTCAGAACCAATGCAGACAAACCATCAAAACCCAACACAGGAACAAACCCTTCACAACACAGACTCAACCCACAGACCCTAGTCACACACACACACATGCCGCTCAGACACCAACATGTACAAACACACCTCGAAACCAACACAAGGGGGAAGGAGAATGGGATGGATTCGGAGTAGCAGATACATTACCGTGTATAAAACAGCCAGCCACTATTTTACAGTGTAAGTTGCTGTATGACACAGCTCAAATTCAGTGCTCTGTGACACCCTAGAGGGGGGGATGGGGGGTAGGAGGAAGGTTCAAGAGGAAGGGGACAGATGTATTCCCATGGCTGACTGATGTTGATATATGGCAGAAATCAACACAATACTGTAAAGCAATTATCCTCCAATTAAAAATAAGTGTTAAATAAGTTAATTAAAAACAACACAACCACATACTCCTTAGAATTAACATGGACACACATAACCCTCAGACACAACACAGGCACACAGCCCTCAGATCTAAAATGAGCACATAACCCTCAGAATTAACACATGTACACACACCCCTCAACACAACCAGGGAACATTACCCTTCAGAACCCACCACAGGAGCAGACACACCCTCAGACTCTACACAGGCGCACACACACATCTCAGATCCAGTAGGGGTAAATACACCGAGCACCCAAAATCAACACACACACACACCACTCAGACCTGGTACAGACACACATCCTTTAGAATCCGTACAAGTACAAACACCTCTCAGAACTGAGCCCGGGTAGACACAGTCCTCAGACCCAACAGGGGAGCAGATCACTCAAACTAGTACAACACACACCCAAGAAACAACAGGGACACAACAACCCTTAGGACTAACACAGGCACAGAAATGGACATACACACCCTCCAGAACCCAACATAGAAACACACACTCCTCAAAACCAACACAGACACCCCTCAGGACCAAAACGGGCGGATCCACACCCAACAATGACAAGCCTCGGAGCCACACAGGCACACACATCCCTCAGAAGCCAACCAGGGAGCAGACCACTCAGCACAACCAAAGGTACAAAGCCTCAGAACCCAACGCGGACAAACACCCCTCAGAACCAGCATGACACACAACCCTTAACTAACCCGAGAGCACAGATCCCTCAGGACCCAAGGGAGGCGCAAGCATACGCGGCCTCAAGATGGGCGCGCACGCCTCGGGACCTTCGGGACGCAACCAGCAGACTCCACAAAGGCACACCATCCCCCAGAAGCCAAGACACACTCACCTCAGAAATACACACACACGACACTAAGAACCCAACATGGTCACAAACACCCCTCAGAACCAGCGCTGAAACAAACACACCCTTCATAACCAATATGCACCCACACCCCTCAGGCCCCACATGGTAACACCACACACACACTAACGTGCACACACTCCTCAGAATCGACTCGACACACGTCCCATATAATCAGACAGGACAAACACCCCTCAACCAACAGGGACACACACCTCTCAGAACCTGAGGGAGCAAGACACACTCCTTCAAACGCAACAAGGGTCAGACCCCTCAAAACCCATCACAGGCACACACATCCCCTCAGAATTCACACCGGCAGACACAGCCCTCAGACCCCACGCGGGTGCGGACCCCTCAGAACGCAACGCGCACACGCACGTCAGAACCCGCACGACCCACAGCCCTTACACCTCTCGCAGCACCCCACAGACACAACGGCTCAGCCGCGGCAGGCCACGCACGCCTCACACCCGACGGCCGCACGCACCCTCCGGGGACACGCGCCCCCGGGAAGCCTGGCCCCGCCGCCCCGCACCTGGCGCAGCGCGGCCTCCGCGGCGCCGCCGTCCCGCTGCCGCAGCTGCTCCCGGAAGCGCGCCACCTGCTCCAGCAGCGCGTCCACGAGCGACGGTGCCGTGTCCCCCTCGAGCGCGGCGAGCCGGGCGCGGAGGCGCGCGATGAGGGCGTCCCGGGCCGCCAGCTGGTCTTGCAGGCGCCTCAGCCGCTGCCCCGCCTCGTGGTACAGGCCGCAAAGCGCGGCAGCCGCACGCGGGGCGCCCTGTCGCCCCGCGCACTCCGCATCCCCGGACGACATGGCTGCGGACCTGGCCGGGACGGCGCGGACCGCCGGCAACTTCCGCGCCGGGTCTGGGCAGGGGATGGTGGGGGGGGGGCGGCCCACCTTCCCGGAACTTTTCCCGGCGCGCCCCGCCCTCCGCGGAGATCCCGAGCCCGCCCCGCGCCGAGAGGCAGGCCCCGCCCCCACGCAGAGTCTGACCCCGCCTCCCGCCGAGCCTCCAGGCCCCTCCCACACGAAGAGTTTGACCCCGCCTCCCGCCGAGCCGCCAGACCCCGCCCTCGCGGACACTGTGGTCCCGCCTTCGCCGAGAGGCAGACCCCGCCCCCAAGGAGAGCCTGGCCCCGCCTCCCGCCAAACCGTCAGGCCCCGCCCCCACGGGCAACGTGGCCCCGCCTCCCGCCGAGCCGCCAGGCCCCGCCCCGCGGTCAGCTTGGTCCCGCCCTCGCCGAGCCGCCAGGCCCCGCCCAAACGCAAAGCCTGGTCCCTCCCCCGCCGAGTCTCCAGGCCCCGCCCTCGAGGAGATCTGGGCCCAGCCTGCCGCCCGGAGCTTGGCCACCCGCCGGGGTCCCCACCCGCTGGGGTCCTCTTCACCCGCGGGTTCCTGGCCTGTCCCAGCCGCCTCATTGCCTGGTATCGCGGGAGCTTTCAGAGAGTCGGGCCCGGAGAGGGCTCAAACGGCCTCTATGTCGCTACTGACGGAAGGGAAAGAAGTGGCCAGAGACGACCCCGAGTTTTAGCTCCGAGCGTGGGTCCGGACCCCCGGGCTGCAGGCCGGCTGCCACGCCGAGCCTTCCAGGAACTGAGCCCGGCGAGGTACCCAGCCCACTAGCGAGACTCCAGTGCCCGCACCCCCTCTCCGAGGTGCAAGAACTGCTCTTAGGGCAGAAGGCAGGAGGGAGCCGGCCCTTTCCCGCCCTGTTTCTCCGTCCCCTCCATCTGCCGGCTCCCAGGCCGACTCCGAGGGGTTTCCCATGGCTCCACAGCTGTTTTATTTTTCAGAGTCCGAGTGCCCTCCACAGTGATGCCCAAGCGCACCTGTGGTCTTGCGAAGGTTCCCTGGCACACCCTCCTCTGCCCGCCCTGCCCTACACTGCTCTCGTCCCCGGGTCCCCTGAGAGCAGCGAGGCGTTTTTTCCCCCTCTATGTAATCCGTAGCCGAGCTTGGGTTGAGCCCAGGGAAGACACTCACAGGCTGGCAGAATCAGAATTATAAGCGTAGCCAGCTCACACCTCCTCCGCTGCAGAGGGAAGGTCAAGGCCGGCTGCCCCCAACCCCACAGGTTGTGCTGTGGGGACTGGGGTGGAGTGCAGGGTACCTGTGCCTGGGCGCGTGGTTAGGGCTCGAAGACACATTCTTGTCCGTGGCACACCTAATAGACTATGAAGCTAAAAAAAAGTGTTAGTCGCTCAGTCGTGTCCAACTTTTTACGACCCCATGGACTGTAGCCCACCAGACTCCTCTGTCCATGGGATTCTCCAGGCAAGAATGCTAGAGTGGGTTGCCATTTCCTTCTCCAAGGGATCTTCCCAATGCAGGGGAAGATCGAACCCCAGTCTCCCGCGTTGCAGGCAGATGCTTTACCGTCTGGGCCACTATAGCACAGTGTAAACACAACTTTTATATGTGCTGGAAACCAAAACATTCATATTACTCGTTTTATTGTGACATTTGCTTTATCGAGGTGGTTTACAATCAGACCCAGGCTATCTCCAAGGTCTACTTGCACTGATGTTAAGTGTTACATGTGTATGAGCTTCCCCTTCTGTCTTCCTGACTCCATTTTAGAAGGTTTCATTTTATTTTCACCACTTCCCGCTCTGATCAACATCTTTCTCTGACAGCATGGCTGATCAAGAGTCAGGGTTGTTGTTTGTCTTTTACCAACACTCAGTAGCCTTTTGTCCCTTGATACCAGGAAGGAACCTTTCCTGGGTGTTGTGTCCCATGTCAGAGGGAAAGTGCACAGATTAGAAACCTATTGTGGTTACATTTTAGTGACAAGGATGGGTGGGAAGGAGATCTCTCAAGTATTTCTCATCTAAAATCTGTTTATTAGAGTAGTGAGTTCAGCAAGGGCACACTCAAAACTGCAGGAATTAAACAAGTACTTTAGGAAGACTGCAGGGGAAGAAACATGGAGTAATTAAATAGTATCATTACCTCAAAAGACTGGAGCTATATGTTTTATCAAATAATACAGCCTGTAGTTTACAAATTCAAAGACTATGAATTTGGATGAAAATCCTGAGTCAGTTTATAATCTGGATGAAACAGAGAAACTTCTGTGAATTCTGAACCTCCTAAGAGGTCTGATCTAGACATCTTGTGAAAGTTGTCTCATCAGACATCATCAGCTGCAGTTCCGGGAAATCTTTACCTTCAGGTCAACCGATAGTGTGCAGGTCCAGTCAGAACTGACGCTTTCTTTTATCCCAGAGTCTATTCCTTGGAGCTTGGTGGCACAACGGTGGGTTAGCAGCACCTGATAAGGGCTTTACCAGTGAACCCGAAAAGCATCCTTCTGGAGGTGTCTTTTCCAACGGAAGAAGCTTCCAGGTTGCAGTGTGTTATGTTTAAGGCCTTCATCTCCTGAGACTGCAAAAACTGCCTTACTAGAGTCTTTAGTAGAAGCAATTGGGCCTTTGCAATATTGAAGCGTATCCCATCTGCCAAGTCTCCAGTGAGCCGTTAGGCAGTTCAAGAGGGGAGCAGCCAGAGCAGGTGTCCCTGGGTTGCATTTTGGGAGATGAGACAGAGGAGGTAGGCACGCATTTTGTCAGTGTGATGAGGATTCTGGAGGGCCTCTACTGCATGGGTATGTAGAAGGTTAAAAAGGATCCCATGATTGTGTATAGGGTGGCTTAGATCAGAAAGCAGTAGAAAGAATGACTCTGAGGCAAGGGGGTGTCCCCGAGCCACAGAGCCCAGCTGTCAGCTGTAATACCTGATGGGCTGGTGACAGTCCCCATGTTTTGGGGTGAGGATCCCACAGACATTCCCTTCTCTCCCACATACAAAAGGACAAAGCTGGTAATTAGGATGTCCAGGCGAAGCTGATCTCAATGCGATTTCCTTTAAGGCCTCAACAGCTGTGTCATCTTGATCCCTTAATTAGGTTTGCTCTGTCTTAATAAAGCATGCAAAGCCATTGGAGAGAAATTGGGACCCCATTTCAGTAGGAAATGGGGTTTTCTTGCCCAAGAAAACCTTGTAACTGGCACTTAGTTTTAGGTTTCGGGGAGTTAAGGATGCCAGGAAGCCTCTCCAGATCTAAATGTCATCCTTTTTCTGAGATCAGGTGCCCTAAAAATCCATCCTGGGTTCAAGCAAACTGCAGTTCTTTTTGGAGACTTTGAATTCAGTTCAGTCGCTCAGTCACTCTTTGCAACCCCATGGACTGTAGCACACCAGGCTTCCCTGTCCATCACCAACTCCCAGAGTTTCCTCAAACTCATGTCCATTGAGTCAGTGATGCCATCCAACCATCTCATCCTCTGTTGTCCCCTTCTCCTGCCCTCAGTTTTCCCACCAGCAGGGTCTTTTCCAATGGGTCAGTTCTTCGCGTCAGGTGGCCAAAGGATTGGAGCTTCAGCTTCAGCATCAGTCCTTCCAATGAATATTCAGGACTGACTTCCTTTAGGATTGACTGGTTTGATCTCCTTGATCAAAGGAGGGAATTCTGTCCAAGGGAATCTCAAGAGTCATTTCCAACACCACAGTTCGAAAGCATCAATACTTCGCTCTCAGCTTTCTTTATGGTCCAACTCACACATCCATACATGACTTTTGGAAAAACCATAGCTTTGATAGAGAGACCTCTGTCAGCAACGTAATGTCTCTGCTTTTTAATATGCTGTCTAGGTTGGTCATAGCTTTTACTTTATAACCCTTTAAAGCCAAAAGTTTTAGCAGGTGGAAGCCATCTTCCTACAAGGAGTTTTGAGAAGGTGAACGTAGAAGAAATTGTATGTTGTAACAAAGTAAAACCTGCAGAAAACTTTATTATCATTCAAACCAGGTTTTCAAGACTTATGAAAAGTAAGAAGGGCTTTCTGTGAAACCCTGGGGCACTACTCTCCACGATTATTGTCATCCTTTCCACCTGAAAGCAAAAGGATACTGGCTGACCTTATCAACTGAAATGCTGAAAAATCACTGCATAGATCAATTGAAGCAAAAAATTTGCTTCCAGTGGGAATGGACGTCAGTAGTCTGGGGGGGATGGGAACAACAGGGTATTGAGGGCAAACAATGTTGTTATTGATTGGAGTTTGTGAACAAACCTGCATCCTGGCCCTTGTGTTTTCTCTTAAAATAGAAATATTACAGGGACTAGAACATGGGTCATGAGACCTTGAGCCTTGGAATCTTCTATTATGGGCTTTATACCTTGAAGGACTTCTTTTCTTACAGGGTAATGATTAATTCTGGTTTGGCAGGAATCTATTCAAATCTTAATGAGAGGTGCACTGTGGATTTTGCCAATATCAGTTGGAGATTTTACCCATAAGGAGGTTGGCAGCTGATTCAATAGGGATCAGTGATCAGGGTTTCCAGAATTAGATCCAGATAAAAGATGTCAAAGGGTCATTTAATTCACCTGGTTGGCTGTTTGGATGGCTGTTGTCAATTTCTAGAATTGTTTTCCCCTTTCGGGGGAAAGAAATTCCAGCATGATACTTTTCCAAGTCTCAGCCAAGGGACTTCCCTGGAGGTCTCGTGGTTGAGACTCTGCCTTCCAACACAAGGGGTGCACGTTCGATCCCTGGTCAGGGAAGTAAGAGCCCATGTGTCACAGCTAAGACCCAGCGCAGCCAAAAACAAAAAAAGCCTCGGCCAAATAAATTAACAGGGGCAGAGGAGCTGAGGAGAGAGGGGTGTGTCCCTCTCAAAGGGCCTGAGAGAAAGGGGAGAGGGCAGACGCAGGAACCTACTGAAGCCTAGAGGAGACCCCACGTTGGGCCCTGTAGTACTTTTGGGCAGGGGCTGTTCTTCAGCAGGGGCCTGGGCACCT